CAGATCATACTCTGCTAGAAGTTGCTTTGAGAAATCTTTACCTTAGGTTGTTGAAATTCTCGTGTGCAATTGTTAGATATCTGACTGTTCACAATACACATCAACTTGGTCATGGGGCTACTAAATTTTATCCATAATCTGAATCTGTCTTGGAAAGTTATAACATGACACTATGCTGTAGAGGATGGCAGTATAACAGTCCCCGGCTTAATGAATGATGCATGCTTTCAGGAATTAATTAGCCATTTAGCGCCTTACTTGGAGAAGAGGCAAAGCTCAGGAAAGATGAAGGATGCTGTAGGCCTTCAGGTATAGCTATCCTTTCATGGAAAACATGTTAAAGGCAGAAGATCTTCTGTTGAGTGGATGAAGATTCATGTTCTCTAATATCGACGTATCTGCCAGTGTTCATTGCTATTTAATTACACGAGACATATGACGTGCACTCCGTACTTGTCCCTTTCTCTACCCATTGGTGTGAATGACTGCGTTATGTTTTCACATGAATCATTGAGACAACAGTAGAAGAATATCTTATATAGATCAGAATAAAGTAGTAATGATATTAGCTTAATGTTGTTTTATCTCACATTTAATTGTGCTCTACACTATAGTGCTTAAAGTGTTCAGCAGAATTCACCTCAGTGCCTCCCAGCCCAAGGAAGAGCCGTCTATTGCCCGACAGTGCTGACGTACATTCAACAAGTGCCTCATCAACTCACAGTAAGTAGGAACTGCAAAGATGACTCCCAGAGGAATGTGTCAAGGCATGATGTTAGTTGATGATGATTGTAGCATGAGGCGTTTGCTGCACGCATGGACTGTTCTAGCATTATGCTGCAATATTCAGAATTACGTGATACTGTATGCGTGTCTGCTGTTTCACATCGCATTACATTTACTTTGAGAGCATGGGTGACGCTCACTGGATGACCAGTGTGCTCGGTTAATTTGCTTGCAGGTCAGTGGAGTGATGTGCGCACTTGCCCTCATTGCAAGAGCGATATGGTAGTGGAGGTCGATAAGCCGGCTGTCACCAGGGCTGCTGGCACTCCCACTCCCATCGGTTCATATTCGTTGTCCCAGCAACCTGTGCCCCTGGCGACATCATCCGTTGTCACAACTCCAGTCAAACTAAAGGGAAGGTGAGAATGCAGCTTACCTTATTATAATAGTCATAATTGATGCAAATGCAATAACTACATAATGGGTAATTGGCAATAATAGCTGTGATTACAGTGACATAACAGCAATAACAGATGTAATCTCAGCAGTACCTGTAATAGCCATAATAGATGTAATTACAGTAGCATTATTGATCAGCTGCAGTATCGCAATTGCTCTGTCGCGACGGCTCATGACGGAGTACATATTTTGCACTAAACTTGTACTGAATTGCATTGATGTAATTTGTGTATTTTAATGAAATTGCTTCATTAAATGCCATTAAAGGCCAGCAGAGCCATCATTGAGCAGTTTCCAGTCGGCGAACGATGAGAGCACAGCGTACCTCTCCGCTGACACGGGTGACACTCCCTACGACACTCCATTCACCTCCGACGCTGATTCCTGCTCCGATACGCTGCCGGCAAATCAGTCATTGTCACGGCGACAACTCGACTTCGGTCCACTTCCCGACGACACGACGATGCCGGGAGGCGGGCGGAAGCGACCGCCGGGCGAAGCCGCATTGAGGACGTCGCCCGAGGTCGCGCGGCCGGCCGCAGCCGTCGATAGCGACATCACGGTGATCTCGAACCCAAGCGCGTCGAGTCTCGCCGTCATGGCGACCGAGTCGGATGCGAGCCCGCTGCATGCCGATGCTCTGAACGTCGCCGACCTGCTGCGCTTGAAGATGGGTGAGTTTGACACACGCTCAGATGGCGCCACCGCCAACGGGCAGACGGAGGAGCGAGACGAGGGCGACATTGTCACGCTGAGGCAGACGCCGCCAACGCTGCCCACGCTACGAGCGACGGCATCACCCACGGAGAGCCGGGGGAGTGGCGCGGCGAGGGAGCCGGATTCGATGAAGCGTACGAATGGCACCGCGCCCCCATCCTGCCACGCCCTCGAGCAGACGTCAGTCGACAGCGAGTCGCTGTCGAGTTGGCATGGCTCGCAACTGGGAGCTGTCGGCGCCATGGCAACCGTCATCAACGAGCACATCCGATCGTCGTCGCGGACGGTGAACGACAATGAAGGCGAAGAAGAGAGCGCGTCGGTGATCTCGTACAACTACGAAGACTTGACGCAGTGTGATCACAGACTGCTGCTGCACTTCTCTCTAAACGCGTTCACGCAACAGCATGAGGAGCTAGTGGGAATCGTGAAGGTCAGTGGGCACAGGATTAAAATCGATTCGACCTGCAGGGGCGAAATATTTTTTTAAAAATTTATAAATACGTGGGTACAGATATAACAGCGTCATGTAATTTAGGTTGAGCACGTAGAAAGTTTAATTGATGAGTGGTGTTTTCAACTATTATACGAATATGTTATGCGTTCTCTGGTGTTCTAGGTTGGTGTAGTGCAGTATAATGTCGCAGAGGAGTATCCTGGTTTGCTTCTTGTGTCATCGCATCAATTCTACATTTACAAGATGACCAGACAGGAAAGGTATGTTGATACAAAGGCTCCAAGATCGAAGATTTGTTCATGTATACGAACGATGTCATGTACAAATATGCTGGACATTTCTAGCACCATACTTCAATATGTTTAGTTCATTTCACCTGGGTAGTTCATGTTCAGCTTGATATGCACATGCTACTTTTACAACAACTGTGTTTTCAACAAATATATACTCATAAGCCATACGGTTTCAATGAAGAAATCAATGGGCATATGTGTGTGTGGCATCATCAGCTATTTCATCTTGCATAGTCACCATCCGGAAGAATGGCTGCAACTCGTCGACTCTCAGGACATCACTGAGCTGGTATACCTGGACGTGCGGCTAGGCAAGCAGAGTTTTCGCATGGAGTTCGCGGCTACAGGCAGCTGCTACACGTTTATAGTGCGTGACCAGCACAGGTGCAGCACGATGGTGCGACTTATCACCGGTGAGTCGCTGCGTGCCGCGTAGGTAATCGTGTGATTCACATTGTAAAGTAATGCATGTAGTGTGATTGTACCCATGATACAGCCAAACCTGTGTTAGCGGGAATCTATGTAGAATGTGAGCCTTTCTATAAATGACACTTCAGGTTTTTTTCCTATATTGGCAGCTATGCAGTAAAACCCCCTCTATAGAAATGTAAATCTGTCTACAAAGAACACTTTTTGCATTGCCATCGAGTGACCCTAAAAATACACGGGGGCTCGGGGCGATTTAGCCCTCGAAATGCCAAAAAGAATCCCCGTAAATTTGCATAGAGTTCAATGCAAACCAAATTTTAGAGTGCTATTTTCATGCACGTGCTTGAAAAGTAGCCCCCGAAAAATAAATTATATTTTTTCCCTGCCTAATATACAGGTTTGACTGTATTACGTGACGTCATGTTGTAATTTATCTTTAAAATTCAACACTCGGGTTAGCAACCCTGTATCTTCCTTAGTGTTCGGGAGTTGCTTTCAATGTACGGCTTTCACTCTTATTGGCTGGAAATGTTGTAGGAAAAGGAAGTGACATTTGTAGGTTTTTTTCAAAAAGTTTTTTGCAATACTTTAGGCACAATTACATAATCCCAACCCCATGGTGCACTAGTGTCCTACCTTATATAAACAACATCAGTTCCTCTGATATTATCACTCTGGAGCTCCTTGGCCCACTTCGAGCTTTGGTGATGGTGAATGAATGCTGCAGAATGATGAGGGATACACAGGGAAGGGGAATGTTTAGGAATCTTGTCTCATTTGAGTTTTAAACGTTGTACATGCATTTTCCGAGAGGAAAAAAAGTATTAAGCATCTTTCCCTGTTGGAGTTTGTGCAGCATAGATGTAGTAGAACACAGCCCACACTCACTCATGGGTGATAATTACAGATGCAGTACGCAAGACGACAACTAACGTTAACAGCAAGCTCAAGTCGATCACTAAGAACAGCACTGTGACTCTTGAGAACCTACGCAATCAGGTGCTGCTAGATAGTAGCGGTCTCACGGAGGTGGACTCCACTGTCACCCTCCATCTGCTTGCATACCGACAACAAGACGATGGTATGTACGCATGGCAGTCCATGCCAGAAAGTTAGCTTCAGAAACAGAATGTGAAAACACGTACAATTCCACAGCAGTATTACGACGGACTACATCGTATTACAACGTATAAAAACGTACAGAAATGTATTTTAAAGATGTATAAAATAAAAATAAAATCAGTCTTAACATTAACGCACAACACGTACAACACTAGGATGAGATTGAGGTTTGATATTTTATTCACGCATTGAAAAGTATATATATGATGCTTACACGTTTTTTATGGTTGTTAATTACAATTTTCTAGGTGGAAAATGGACGTCCACTGCTGTTACAGTCACACCAACCGATATGTGTCTATCAACAGAGAATCATCAGTTTCCTATGCCAAGGCTGCAGCCTACAGTTAAAAGCAATTTATTTACGTGCCAGTTTTCTAATCCGATCAAACAGAAGATCAACAATGTCACTGCAGTGGTAAGTGCAATGTAGTCAACAATAGTACATTCGTCATTATTGTGCTAGAAGCATTTAGTGTTCACACACTTTGCTATCGTTTTAAAGATATTTTTTTTGCTTCATCTCATGACAATTACGTTTCAAAATTGTTCATCCTTTTTACACATTTCTTGGTTGCTTATGTATATTTATATGTTGCATATGTTGCATGTTATATATATATATATATATATGGTTATATTATATTGTGCTATGGCATTCTTGTATGTTCTCCTCCCCCCACCTGCCATTATCCTTTAATAATATCGCACTTCACAGACTAAACTTACGCTAAATTTATCCACACGAAATCATATAATGTTATATCACATAATCATGTGAATTGGTTAGTCTTTGGCCATTTTTTCGTTCAGCTTGTAGAATCGCATGTTTGTCCGTCTGGCCGTCCGTGCGTCCGTCTGTCCGTCAACAGTTGGGCACAAATCTTAACCGCTCGACGTACGGTCACGATATTCGGGACATGGGGGGGGGGGTAGTCCGAAAACGAGTTGGGATGTTGAAGTTGGGGGTCAAAGGTCAAAGGTCAAGAGGTGTAAAAGAAGGGGAACATTCCCTCCTTAACTTAAGGTATAGGGAGGAAATGCAGAATTGCAGCACAAATCTAAACGGCTCAACCTAGGCTCGTGATAGTTGGTGTATAGCATCATGGTAGGAAAAGCCATCACTGTGCCGAAATTGGAGGTTACAGGTCAAAGGTCAATGGCGCACAGGGCAGATTTTATACGTTTTCTGAGGACATGGTCTGACGGAGCGATTCAAAAACTTTTTTGTTTCAGCGGTGACCTATCGTTTTTATGGCTTTATTGAAAGGACCATGAAATGTACTTTCCGCTGACATGCGAAGAGTAAGTGTCGGATAACCTTTTGACCCTCAAGAGGAGGGTTAAACATTGATTTGTTGACTGTTAACAAAGGACTGAACTGCTTTTTCTATTATTAGAGCCCATACTTGTGTGAATGTGAGGCTACAGTTGCACAGTTTAATTGCAATGGCAAATGTTTGTTGAACAAGGTTTACGCTCCTTAAATCATATTATTTTCTAAAGCAGTCTGTCTATAGCACCCTAAAGGCTGAATCAGTGAATGCTCGTGTGGGTAGGCAAAAACACGGGGCAGCCCATGGCTGGCACGCTTCTAATCATAATTGTTGCCTGCCAACCTGCAATGCACATGTGTCTGCAATGCATAGAGATTAGGTGGGTGCGAAAGTGTAGCTGATATATTTGTTCCAATTGGCTACGAAAGTCAAACAAGAATAAAGAAGACTCATGTATAAGACGTCTTGCTATGCACAAATGAATTTATCAGCAGAACACCAGACACCAGATGAGCCCTGTCGCACTGCGGCACTTGTTAACATTCGTAATCCTATGCTACTTATAACTGGTTTTGAAAGATGGAAGAAGGAAGAAAAAATATAAATAAGACATGCACACCCAGCTTGAAATATGTTATGAACAGGAAAGATTCTGACAGTTTCCACCTAACAGTATTAAATATACATATAATATACATAATATACATTATAATTGACTGCTGGAGCCATGCCAGGGACTACTTGGGTCAGCATGGTAAATAACCACAAGAGCATATTCAGAATGCATAATTAGGAAGAAGCGTAAGAAGGAGCATATTAAGAATTCTTAATACGCTCTTGATAACATGCCACAGCAAAGCAAGGGACTCGTACGTTGTTGCAGGAGTACTGTGGTACTGAGGTGACGATCGCATTCCTGAATGAGGATAGTGGTGAGGAGCAGAAGTGGAGGCTGCGTGTGGAGACATCCAGCGCACGCAAGGCTCTCATTGCTGCCATCAGAGATCCCTGGCAGAACCAGTTTGCAGTGGATCTACAGGTGACCCAGGTGACGAGGTGACCAAGGTCACAAGGTGACCAAGGTCACAAGGTGACCCAGGCCAGGGAGGTGACCAAGGTCATCGATGTGACCCATTCCAGGAGGTGACCAAGGTCACAAGGTGACCTAGATCATTATGTTACCCAGGTCATGCGGTGAACCAGGTTGTTAGGTGACCTAGATCATGATGTTACCCAGGTCATGAGATGAACCAGGTTGTTAGGTGACTTAGATCATGATGTTACCCAGGTCATTGTGACACCTAAATATCATATTTAAGTACCATATTTTGCAGCTTATAGGGTGTACTTTTTATAGCTCATATGACATGATACAGTCAGATGGAGCTTGTAGACTGGTAAAACTAAAGAGTCAAGAGTATGTGCTGAGTAAGTGTCTGTCCATCTGTTTGTAAACAATATGGGCACAAATGTAAACTGCTTGACCTATGCTATTGATATTTGGTAGACAGAGGCATGGCGAGAAAACCCATCACTTTAGCAAAATTGGAGGTCACAGGCCAAAAAGGCAGCCGGGCAAAGGAGGTATTCTGTAGCCATTGTAGCAACCAGCATTGTGGTGTCCTAGTTTTGAAGTGCAGATGTGTTGCTTGCATTTATTTTTCACAGCTGAACACGTATGGGCTAGCGAATGCCATGCAGTAATCTTGTACACAAAAACCCGTAGCCTATTTTTAAATGCGAGCAATAACAAATTCCTGACTTTTTGCGCATTTAATCTGACCGGATTAGTATGAAATTGCGAAACTTAAACTTCATCACGATATCATGATGACGAACGATGAGCAGTGCCATGTTTGATCCTGCTTTCACTTGCATCCGCTGTCTCACGGCAATTGTTATTGCCATAATTCAGCGGACAGACGTACACACATGACGATGTTCAACATCAAATAACATATGATCAGGAGTGAATAATAGAGATTCTCTATTATTCACTCCTGATATGATCGATCCTTCTCGTAATTTGCTACTCCAAACATTCCGTCTTCATCCGACACGGCCGTCATTAGATGAACAGTGTCAGTCTCTGGCACTTGACTTGGTACTCAGAAAATTTGTTCAAATCCACTTTGTGTCCTATAAGTTGAAGACCGGTCGGTGTAGTGGATATATTTTTATAGCTAAGGTTTTTTGCTATAAAATATAAATACTAACGCTGATTTATGGAATTTGAGGAGGGTTTATGGAATTTGATGGGAGGAAATGACACCAAAAAATCAAGGTTACACCCTTATTTATGATGAGCGTATACCTGATAGTAGGGAGGGGGCTGCTACGCAGTCACAATTTTTTAGGTTATCACCTAAGTTTTAGGTGCGTCTAATGCATCAAAGCATCTTAGAAACGGCGAAATATGGTACAGTCTAAACTGGTTGACGCGTGTGGTGTGGTGACAGGTGCATAGGTGTTTTGAAACATGCTAATGGCAATACATCAAACTACAAACTACAGAGGATATGGATTGATGTGGGCCGATATCATTTACGCTAATGCAAGGCAGTAGCAGTGAGCAGTGAGACTTGTAAATACGTGAGCACACATTTTGCTCCCAGAGTTTGTGTAGCGGCTATGAGAAACAATTGCAATTGTACATTCGCTTTAATTTTGATTTGCTACGGAGAGTTTTGTTGTAGTTTTCTTCTGTGAAATATAAGCTGACACTGGTCATATTTGCTTTCATACTTACAAATGATATTACCGCGAAGGCAAAGACACAAGTGAAGACCCTCCTACCACATTTTCAGATATGGGTTGTGACAATGGTTATCGCTAGCTGTATAGTGTTACTCTGCTTATTCTCACCATATATCATGAGTAGTTGAAATGGGCCGGATCCCCAAGACAGGTGAATTCGTATAGGTGGGTATTTGCGAGCGAGGTAATATATGACATGCATTCTAATTTGTTGTTCTTGTTATTTCCCCGAAACTGTGAAAGCTTTTTATCATGGCATAAGATTTCTTGTGGCCTAATTCTATAAACGGCCAGTTAACGCATGCCACGTTGTTCACCCGTTGACGAGTTGTTGAAATTCGTTGAAGTTTTGAGATGTCGAGATTCCCTGTCGCCTTTATATACAACGTAATCTCGTCTCGGATGGCATCTGGATTTTCATCATCGTCAGCCTCCCCATCAGAAAGCAATCGAGCCCGGATGAAATTGGAGCGCGAAGTCCAACAAAGGGCACGCCGCCGTCAACGCATCCATGTTACACGAGTGGCAGATGCGGCTTAGGTGGATATTGTCCCCCATTCATCGGTGAAGTCGTGGGCTGGCCCATTGTGTAGGTGTGATGCCTTAATAGCATCCGCACAGGCTCGAGCGTGATTGTGTTCTAGTGCACCTGCTAAATTCTAGAGTAATTGAATTCGCATCTGTGCTTGTGTGCGTGCGTTCTTGTGTGTGTGCTTTCGTGCGTGTGTTTGCTCTGTATGCCGGTGTCAGTGCGTGCGCGTTCGAGCGCGCGCGTGAGTGTGTGTGTGTGTGTGTGTGTGTGTGTGTGTGTTGTTGTGTGTGTGTGTGTGTGTGTGTGTGTGTGTGTGTGTGTGTGTGTGTGTGTGTGTGTCGACGCGCGT